AAATTCCATTATACCATGTTATAAAAACAATTCAAAATAATACTGTATGTAACTCTCATTATTGATTTTTCTCAATTAACTAGAAGTAATTTAATGTCATTAATATTTATTTTATATAAAGAATACAATTATCCTTACAAAATTGATTATTAATCTCATTAATAAATTTCACTAATAGCCTAAATAATAAATCATTATTATTCTGAACGATATTAATCACTCAAGTTAAAGAAAAGGGATTTCTCATCGATATCGAAAATTAGCGAATTAGTAGCGGTTGACTAACGCGCAGAGGTGGTCACACGAAAGACAATATCTAATTCGATGTCACGTTCTGAGGGTGCACCGACTCTGAACCCTTGCCCTTTGCCGCTTTTGTCGGCCGTGCACGCTTCCGCGAGCAAGAAAGTGATTTTCTACCGCGATAACCGTGATTTCTAAGACACCCTGCCTTTACCGTGCAATCAGGGAGCCGGTTGAATGACCGACAGACGCCTTTTGATGTCGAATCACCGACAACGTCCTTTCCACTCGCTCATCTCCCCTTGAATGGATTTCACGCGACGAACCGCTCCTCTTTCACCTGGATTCACGCGCCACCCTCGAGATTTCCCGAGATCTTTGATTCCTTGATAAATGAAATTATCTCTCGTTATAACTACAATGGCTCGGGGAAATAGAGTTCTAGAGAAAAAATTTTAATAAAAGTTTATGGAAATGGAAAGAATTTCGAAATTCTTTTAAAACTCGATGAAAAATGTGAATTAATTTCGATTAATTTTCCATATATAAATTAATTTTTATGTATTATTATTTTACCCGAGGAAAAGATCACTTAATAAATGGATACATAAATTTTAATAAGATTATTGTAATTAAATCTTTTGTCCGTGAAATCTTCAAGATTGTTGATCAAAAATCTTTGTTTCTCTTATCTATTTTAATAATAATATAATAACAATTGCTTAATTTGTATTCGCTCAATATTATCATAGGAAAGTCTTAATAAAGGTATTTCAACATTTTTAGTACATATTCACAGCGCATAAACTTCTTCGTCGCATTCGTGCCTGATGTTTAAAATGATTTTTCGCTTCTGATGATATTTTTCTACTTTGCATTTCTTGCATCAGCCATTGTACCTGAGCAAACGAAACGAGAAACGTGCTTTTCAAACGAATATTCAGAAAATCTTAGCTTCCGGTGAATAAGAAATGGAAATCAAATAAGAAAACAAGGCTAATGTGCTAAATCAATTTCGTGGCGGAATAAATATTATCTTCTAGATCTTCTATTCAATAGAAGGAAAAAAAAATATAAACAAATAGAAATGTACAGAAAGTAAATTTTATTTATTTATATAGATATGTAGGATATTTTTCTTATTTTTCTCTATTAATTGCAAGATCATTTACAAGTGAAAATGTTATACGCGTATGAAAATTTGTTATTTGTATATTTTACTATGAAATTATGAATAAATATTAAAGACAGAGAATTCTTGATTACATCAAGTAAAACGTCATCTGAAATTTTTTTATATTTAATAGTTCTTTACATAAAATTCAATATTAAATTTTATATCAAGAACATAAGACAACATTGTTTGAATCATCATCACTTTCGTTCAAAAATTCCTCAACAATAGAAAATTTTTCAATAAAATTCCCCAAACCACAATCATTTTCCGCTTCAAATAAAGATAAAATCCGCCAAGATAAATACACATCCCCTATATCCTGTGTGACAATCAGAAAAAAGAAGCAAAAAAAGAGGCAAGAAAAATGAAAGAGGAGAAAGAAGAGAAATCAAAAGATGAAAATACCGCACCTGACTCACTAGGAACTCGACAATAACCACTCGGATAAGAGTGGCGTTCCGATGAAATATCGTAAATCACGTGGCTCGTTGCTCCGTGTCTGAGAAGTTTTCATAGGCGGCCGATTCGACCAAACCTCTCCTTTTTTTCCTCTCCCTCTCTCGAGTCACCCCCTCCCACCCTCTCCTGATTCCACGTCTCATTCTCGTTACGAAGTTCCTCCCGGTCATCAAATTTTATTAGCCCCCGCTTCAAGGGGGCTCGCCCTCTGCTTCTAACTCAATATCGTAGATTTGTAGTCTCGGTTTAACTACGCTCTTCTTCCCTCTTCCTTGCGCTCGCACGCGTGCACACGTTCACGCTCTGTAACAGGATCCCGCGAGCGAGCGAGAAGGCCTGAAGATGTAAGCGGGGCGAGCTCGAGCGACTTTGAAAGCAGCAATAATTTCGTGCTCCACGGCCGAGAACTAATTTCCACCGAGCTCTGAAGACGGTGGACGGGGGGAGGGGATCGAGCCAGATGAACAAGGGTGGACGACGCCTCCTTTCGTCCTCCTCCTTCCTTGTTTCCTCTCTTTGCTTCTTCTCTCTTTCTTTGAGCCTCTTGCAAGCAGTACGTTTTCTCTCGCGCCCTTTTATCGGCCGACAATGGCCTACCCAGCTGCACCGGTCGACTGCCGACCGTCGCAGCCAATAAAGATACGAAGGAGGATACGAAGGAGATGCTTGATTTCGCGGAAAGGCGCTCGAAAGAGGAGGAGAGTGATGGTATTTCCGGTCGTTGGATTAACCAAAGAGGATGGAGAGTTTTTCAATTCGTATTCGAGAATTTTTTTTTTATGAAAATTGATAATCGTCGGTTCGAACGCGATGAAGAGATTAAAAATTGAGGGATCTGTAATGATTACACGGAATTTTTGTGGAAATATCGGCGCACGATGTGGAAAATTTAATAGTATTTGTACGAATTGGAATTCTCTCGAACTCGATTTAATCTGATTTCGATAAATGGAACTTTTATGTAATGCAATGGTGAAACGTTTATTAAACGTTTTTTTTTTTTTTTGCAAATCGCGAGTAATATTAGAATTTTTGAAATTAGAAGTGTTAACTTTAAAATAAGTTTTATAAAAGTTTATTTTTCTTATTATAATATTATTATTAATATTATTATATTATTTAATTTTAATATTTATAATAATTTTAATATTATTTTATATATTTAATATTATTTTATTTTATAATAATTTTAATATTATTATATATATTATATTATTAATAATATTATTAATATTATAATATTGATTTAATTATAGTAGTAATATGTTAAATCTTACATTACTAAGTCTTAGAATAGAAAATCAAATGAGTAAATAAATTATCAATGATAATATTCATACATATATGCTTGTGTTTAGTATCTGATATTTGCCACTGTCCTCATTGTGTGATCAACTACCGCTACTGGAGTTTCTACAAACTCCTGCTACTGTCACGGCTGGCTGATTATATGCTAACCAACTCCACTGTTAGTAGTGCCCGTCGCTGTGCGCCAGTGTAAACGATGGCTGACTGATACGACCAGTTTCTACTGCGTTGGTAATGGCCTCCAATATTAGTACTCTGTTTACGCAAGGCGTCTTATTACTATATCTTTAGTAATTATACATTCTAATCGTTTGTATTGCATTGTCATTACAATAACACAGCACAGAAGATTACTCTTTTTAAAGTTTCAAGCCTTTTAATCTTTTCTTCAAACGAAAATGTTTTACACTCGGCTTAAAATATTTGCCTAGGATAATCATTATGATAATCATCGATTCAACGTGATACATTCTCTAATGAAGAAATTGATAGCAAAATTATAGATTATTGGAAAATCTATGGATTATTTTAAGAATTAAAATTGTTCGAGAACAACAAAATAATCTCAACTTTTTAATATTCGAATATTCGTAAATTAAGATTTATTATAAATTTCCCTTTGTTAAATAACATTTAAAAATACGAAATAATATAATAAATAATAATCCCAAACATGTTTCGCGATATTGTACCATTAATTAAATGTTTCAATAACAAACAATAGGATTAACAGAAATAATTTTATACGAGCCTCCTTTAACTTCGTAGCTTTCCAATAATTACCAATTGATCCAATCCACCAATGGATCAACGAAGGAACGTCTCTCGGACGATTTTATTAAAGAATTTTTCGCAACAATTGTAATCCCTAATCTGTCTTTGAACAGCTATATAATTCCCATTTATCGAACGATCCTACCGATCTGGACAAATTGAAGATCGTGAATGACGTATAAAAATTAATGAAGGGGCAGTTAGAGGTCGCCTAACATGCTCGACGATCAGCTAGATCAATGTAATCCTCTTACGTCGGTGGATCCTCAGATCCACGTTGACCAGGCTCATCCAAGAGAAACGCTACTTCTCTAAGCCTTTAAACCTATCTCAGACGAACCAATATCGGGCCAATTTCGAAGAAACAGTGTCACTATATACTTACATGTACGTACATATGTACATATTATGTATTGACGGGCATCAAACTTTTGGATTAAATTATTGATAGATAGATTGTTTTCTTATATATATAATATGATAAATTGGTATAAATATAATTATATGATCCGCTTTTTAAAGATTTAAGCTATAATTTTTCCTATTTCTTCGATACATCTTTCTTTGAAGTCAAATTAAAAATCAAGATTAAGAATATCGTAAAATCTATTTTAAGTAATATAGCGAATATTACTAGTAATATGTTGAAAATTAAAAAAAATTAGCAAAGCAATCGATTTTGTAAAGAAATTTCTCGATATTGATAATGTATCATATAAAAAAGATAAAATTAAATATTTAAAAATTACTTTTCTACGAATTCTCACTCACTTACATTACTGCATTTAATTATCAAGTTTTTAAAATGTTACTAAATAATATAAAATACAATGTACTTGGCAATGATTAATCAATGAATAATGATAAACATGAACAAATATAACAGTAGAATTCTCTTTTGTAGTTTTATCTACAACCTTCCCACATGTACCAAACCAATAAAAAAAAACCAGAGAAGTTTAATCGTTGAATAAGATTAAGCCTGACATGCGTTCTATCTGTGCCAGTATCACAGAAAATAAAATACATCGCCACTCACCTTTTGCTGCTGCGCCTGTGACGGTTCCGTGGCGAGCAATTGTTTTAAGGCCGGGTGTCCATGGCCGTTGGGCGTCGACGTCGCTCCTGGTGTGCTTGGCGTGCTGGGATTACTTCCCGGTGTATTTGGTGTGTGAGGACCGGTGGTTGGACTGCTAGGACTAACGCTTTCGTTCACCTTGCTACCGGCATGATGATTCTCCGTGTGCCTCCTCAGACTCCTCGCGTCGCAATACGATTTGCCACATCCCTCCGCTTTGCACTCGTACGGCTTCTTGTTCCGATGCGTTAGCATGTGCCCGTTCCTGAAAAAAATAATAGAGGAACAATTGTGTCAAAAGAATCCGAGTCTTTGTTGTTAAAATTTGAAATTTTCGAAATTTTGATTCGATACAGGATATTATTTTACGTAATTAAGCATATTTTTAAAAAATATCTTAAAGGGAAGGTTCAATTTATTGCGAATTGATCATTTGGTATATAAATATTATTTCTCATTTAATAATTACATTATTTCCTATGAATTTGAATTTTTAGATTGTGTATTCCTCTTTAACAATAATTAAATTATATGCAATATTTGAATTTATGAAACATTTAATGTTATAAATTATTGTATTTTTAAGTTTAACAAATGTGTAAATGTATTCAATAAATATTATTAATTTTAAATAAACAAAACTTTCGAATTTAAAAGAATTACAATAACGAGAAATTTTTGTTTACACTTAAAAATTTTCATAAGCAATATTTATTAAAGATCCAATAAATTTCCTTGAGATTAATCTTAAGGAATAAAACAAATTGTATTTCACTTCAGTCTTTTATCAAATCAAATGTAATAAACAAAATAAAAATTAAAAAAGAATTTCTAACATAAAATCATCCTTCATGATTGTTGTATAATAACAAAAAAATTTTTATCCAATTAAATATATATTACATATTTAACAATATATATAAGAGAATTCTCTTCACGTATCACCGAGATAAGACCAAGAAGTTCAGCAAAGTGTTTCATAATCCTCCACTGACACGCAAGAAACATTCAAGAGAACTCGATCATCCAATCCCCCCAGTTGAGGGTAGAAAATTATGTCGGTCCAATTAAGTTCCTATCTATATAGAGGATCTACCGAACTCCGGAAATCCTGTACAACGAGGAACAGGGCGATCTTGGCATCGAGCTATCTGCGAGGTGCATCTAAGCTTATCCTCGACGTGACAGCCTTACGACCGTTTCGTAGGGCTAAAGACTATTCTCCAGACCATTTGCCTGATATACATGGTATGCGACCCCCATCGATGGGGTGAAACGCACCAACCTGACGCACACTCTCTCACGTGAAATCTCTCGCAGAAAGGAAGCTTGGTTATCAGTTGAAAGGTGGCCTTAGAGTGGAAATGTGTTGTTATATATGGATACGATAGAATGAGTTAGAAATGGAACAGAATTTTTTGAAATAATTTAGTTTGATGCATTTTAATTTTTAATAAAATGAAAATTAAAAAGTATATAATATTTAATATCATATTATATTTAATATTTTGTTATTTTTATATATTATAATCGTTTTCTTAAATATATAATTTAATATATATTATTATGTTTAATATATTTTCAAGTCCTTTGTTTGTTTTTACTTTTACAAGAAACAATTCAGAATATTCTATATTATTCCATTATTCCATTATATATATTCGAATAAATCAAGTTTGAAAAATTTTCAAATTCATATGAAACTCTCTATTATTTGATTAGAAACAAATGAACTATAACGATAGCATGATACGTATGAAAATAAGTAAAAAAACTAATAGAACAAATATGTAACGAAATAATTTATAATTTAAAACTGAATAATAATACGTAAAAAATATAGAACGAAAATACTATTCTTAGAATATCAATTTAATTAAATGAATTTTTAAAAATATTTTTATATGAATTACATTACTATGATTTGCCCGCCAAAAACAATACTACCCATTTTAGAGATTCAGAATCGAATCCGTATGCTTTTTTAAACTTCAGCAAAAGCATACGAAATTATGCCAAATGATCTATCTCAAATTTTCTTGAAACTCGTTCCAAGATTTAAATTCAAGAATCTATGGCGAAAAATTCTAAAACACTGTGCATTGTAAATATATATTAACAACAACATTTTATCATGCCATATCAAAAGAAATAAGAAAGAAGAAGAAAAGAGTGTGCAACAAGTTGCCTATACTATTCAAGGATACATTTATTGCCCCTAAGAATCGTTTGACGCGTTCATCCCCCCTCCCCCTCCACAACATTTTGCCCCATATAATTGCATTAATCCGACAATGAGTTACTCGGTGGAAACGACATCGTTAAACTCTGTTTCCTACGTCGTAACTATAATCGGGATCCGAGATTTAACGCGGATAAAACAGACGGTAAGTACAGACGGTAAATCGTCGATTTGTATCTCGTTCCCGCCATCGATACCGAACACCGACCACCGTGGATCCGATTTCTCTGGACAAATATTTGCTTGGAATATTACCGGCGACGACCCAGTCGAGAGAGAGAGAGAGAGAGAGAGAAAGAGAGAGAATTTTTCAGGTTACTCGATTAATTTGCACCTTCGTTACGTGGTGAAACGAGAACCGGAACGAGAATCGGACATTTCATTTTGTTAAAAGACCATTTTAAGATTTATCAGAGCTTGATGTTGATTTTTCTATTTTTTCTTTTTTTTTTTTTTTTCTTTTTTTTTTTCTTCCTCCCAAGTCGTGGATAGAGGATATTCTTTTTGAAACTCGTAACTTTGCGCACGATTCACTTTGTAAAAGTACCATTTTTCGACGATGTTGTTCTTCATGGAAACTTTTCAGCGTTATATATCAAAGGTTTTTAATTAGAGGGTAAAAAGAGATGAGCGAGGCTCTCTTAAACGTTGTTTGCGAGCTTAAGGAGGGAAATGTTAACCTTTAACCTTTCACCTACGCATTTAACCTTTAATTTTCAAGAACGAGGCACTTGTTTTAACTAATGAGCAAATGCGAGGACATTCCGTAAATAAAAAAAAAGCAACTCAATTAAGAGTCACATATATTTTTAATCCTTGTAACGAACACTTGAATTGTTCGCTTGTTGATAAACAAATTTATATTTATAGTTTTTTTTTTCCATTTCATTTTGCTATTTTAAAAGTAAGTCTCAAAATAGAATAAAATATTTACTTTTTTTGTCTTCTAAATCATAAATTTTAATATTAATCGTAATTTGTAATTACATACAATTTATAAATTTACAATTAAATTTTAATATTACTTATTTTTAAATTATTTTTTTATATCCATCATTTTAACAATCCCATTTTTTAAAAATTATTTTTCTTAAAGATGGAAAGAGAAATGAGAGGAACTCGTATAAATATAAATTAAGCATTCCTATTTATAATCCCGTTACCTACATCATTACACGAGAAATAAATAATTAGCATACAAGACAAATCCATTAAAAATATAACACGAGATTCGTCAACATCCGTTTCGACGTATTTCAATCGCCCATTCCCCTGATGTTCTTTCTCCCTTCTGATAAAACTTTAACGAAACATCGAGCATCGTTCACCTCCCTTTCGAAAAGGGAGAAAGAGGGATTCTCGCGTGGATCGTGGTAAGAAAGGTCAGAGCATCGGACGACATCGTTTCCAGTAAATTTTCAAGCAGTATTCTGTCCCATTGTTCCAAGCTTTATAGTCCATCACGATACACGAACGAATTCCCTTAAATTTTATCTCGGGACGAACTTCAAAGTTTAATTTGTAAAAGCTAATTCGTTCAACTTTAATGTATTTCCTTTCTGATTCGTGGATGTACACACACGAATCCTCTAGGAATCGATCGAGCCAACTATTCGCCATTAAACGAATGAAAAAAAGATAAGAAAAGAAAAGCGAATGGTTCTATTTGATAGAAGATATTAAAATTGAGACGATGAATGAAGAAAGGAAATTCATTAGTTTCTTTTCTGATTTTTTGGATTTCGATTTATAATGATTAATAGTTTTTTAGTTTATTTATAATTAGGTTAACTGAAGACGAGGAGATAAAAGATTCATCCAATCAAAATGAATACTAAAAAATCTTAATTATGATTCCTTAACTTAAATATCATTAAAATCAATTCAAGATTGATTTATAAGCAATCATATTTTGATAATAATTATAAATCGACTGTGAGTTTCATGAAACTTTACACCAATATATAACAAAGAAGATAATGAAAAGATAAATCGATTATCAAAATTTAATTATTAAATTAAACGTTCATATTCTATTATTTGAGAAATTCTGGATATTTTTATATTCGAAATATCAATTAAAAAAACGTTACTAAACTATTAATTAATCCTTTTTTTTTTTTGATATAAAATAGGTTTTCGGATTTGATAAGAATCAAAGATGGAAAGTGTATACCTTTATAATTTCTTTCGCTCTACTTTCTTTTCTATCGGATCCACGACGAAACGTTTTTAGCGGAGCGGAGGAAAAGGAAAATGGCACGAACAAAGACCGTATTGAAGACGTCGAAGCGGGAAAAGAAAGCTTCGTTGTTGAAAGAGAAACAAAAGAACGAAAGTTCCATGGTTCCCCTCCTCTCCTCCCCTCCCTCCCTCCTCCCTCCCTCCTCCCTCCTAATGACGATGTATCCTTCAAGAGACAAAGCTGAAAGTATATTTCTAAAGTAAAATTGATCGCCTTTCATTTCAAGGCTAATGACGTTCCCTGAATAATCAACATAAATTCTGAAAGTGAAATCTCCTGTTCTTAAATAAAATAAGAGATAGAACAAAGAGAGTTCACGGTTTCTTTTTTGTCGTTAAAGATTCTAATGGTCTACGTTCCAATGTAGTTTACATACAGAGGACAGTTCCTTTCCTCGAAGAGCGAAAAGATTTCGATTTAGAAAAATTACTCTTGCGGCGAGGATCTGATACGTACACGAAAAACGACTCAGCAATGAAAACACTCGGGGTTTTGTAACAGTCTCATTCCTCTTGGAGTACAAATTTGAAAATAGCTAGGAGACACGGGAAAACAGTACTTGTATGATCTCAATTTGAGGCACTATTTTCGATCAACGATATTTCTGTAAATAATGAAAATTAATATTCGTCAAAACTAAACTAAATATCATATAATTTTGTCACAAATTCTTTCTTTTGTTGTGTATTTATGAATGTGTCAGTTTATGTAATATAGGATAATTATGAAAAAGATTTTATTTGAAATAATGACATATATATTTAATTTATTTTTATTA